ACAATTTGAAAGATGTCAGCTTAAAATGTTCAAGATAAACTTCAAACTTACCATGTCCAGACAAAAATTCCATAACGTTAAAAAATTGAACAATAAAGCTTTACTTTTCAGTCTATCAAAAGTAGTTGGGAAAAATTTTATTGTAACAGGTCCCTTATCAGAAGAGATATAATCACAATTCCAGTGTTCAATCATTTGAGCTTTGAATGATTTTTTAAAGTTTCCATTTGGGATATGATTTTTTTATTATGTGGCACTAAGTTTTCCGATTTTAAGATTTGCCATATTAATTTGTAATCAAAATTGTTGACTGAGATAAGAGAATTTTTAGCAGTGATAAATATCATTAAAAACTGATAATATATTAAAATTACATTTAAGAAATAAAATGATAACAGTTTAATTCTTCCCTGCCCAAATGTAAGATGAGACTATTTTGATGATTTAGGAATATTTCGATTCTGAAAAATAAACAAAATAATAAATGTTATAAAGTGCAGATTCAGAAAAATAAGATATTAAATGCTGTGAGGCACAGTTTCTGAAACAAAAGCTGTTGCAAAAGCAGAAGAAGCTTTTTGTAATTATTCTAAAATTAATTTCATTTGTCTTTAATATTTTGTCTGAAAGGAGCCTTTTCTGCTTTAATTGTTTCAAAATGTTGAAATACATATAAGTTTTCTCTGAAAAATTCACTGTACTTCTTTCTTTTCTGAATCCCCTCCTCTTCCCCCAAATCAAATCTTTTGACTTTTTGCTCATATGAAATTGGTAGGGATATTTTTTCTTTCAGATTTTAAACATTGCACCTTGAACAGTTTAAAAGGATTTTAAGGCAGATTTCATAAACGATGTGACAAAATGAAAAGAAAAATATTTTTGTGGTGATAACATGTAATGGCATGTTTTATGGAAACTTGTAATGGATTTCTTATTTTTTGAAGAAATTTTAGAATAATGAAAACAAAATTATTTGAATTTTCTACTTTTGATTCTCAGAGTCTTTCTTTTAATATATTTGTCATCCCTTTATTTTCTATTTTCACTAGACATAAGCATGGGAAATTGCAAAAATTATTCTAATCATGTCACATGGACAGATGTCTTTCTGTTGATAAAGAAACTGAAAGCTGAGAATCTAAAAGATTATTTTTTTAAGGCCTTGAGTTCTGCAACATACAGAGGACTGATGCAAAGTATTTTTTCGGCTAGTACAATCTCTGTGGACCATAAATTCTACTGCCCGATGCCTCCTTAAATTCTAAATTTTTTGTTGCACTTAAATTCTGCTGCCCTGTGCCTGTTCTAAATTCTAAAAAATTTAGACTAGAAGAATATTATATAATGAAAATAAAATTTTTCTTCAAAGCTATATTATTGAAACGTTAAAAAATAATTGAGATGAAGTAAGGAAATTAGCTAGAGTATTTGGAGAACTATCAAATTAAAAAGGCACCTAAATATTTTATGTTGTTGCTATAAAATATACGAGGCGTATTCGGAAACTAAGTACCGTTTTGAAAAAAAAAAAAAAGAAAAAATAGTTTAAACAATTTTTTCGAATCCAATTTTATTTTTACATGAAAATACATGTCTTAAACTATTTTTCAACATAGTTTCTGCCAATGATCAAACTTGTCATAGCGGGTGACCAGTTTTTGTATACCATCGTCAAAGAAACTTCCTGCCAGTTTCGATAACCACGACTCCACAGCATTTTTCGTGTCATCGTCAGATCCAAAGCGCTTGCCACCAAGCTCGCGCTTCGTGTGCAGGAACACGTGATAGTCCGCCGCCAAGTCCGGGCTGTACGGCGGGTGATCGAACTGCTCCCAATAAAACTGTCAGATTAACGATTGAGTGACACCAGCAGTATGGGACCGAGCATTGTCATGGAGCAACACAATTCCTTTACTGAGCATTCCTCTTCGTTTGTTTTGAATGGCACCCTTTAGTTTTGTTGAAGTCTCACAATATTGTGCCACATTAATGGTTTCACCTCTAGGAAGAAATTCAGTAAGCAAAATGCCTTTCCTATCCCGACTGTGCACATGATTTTTTGTGATGACATTGTCACTTTGAACTTTTGTTTTTTCGGAGAATGAGTATGTCTCCACTCCATCGATTGTTTCGATTCTGGTGTGAAATGACACACCCAAGTTTCATCACCTGTCACAATTTGGTTTAAAAAGTTTTCTCCCTCATCACTGTACCGCGTGAGAAATGTCAGGGCACTACCAAGTCGCTTTGTTTTGTGAACATCAGTGAGCATTTTTGGAACCCATCGGGAACACAGTTTGCGATAATTCAAGCGGTCAGACACAATTTTGAACAAAACAGTACGTGAAATTTGTGGAAATGCCTCTGAAAGAGTTGTCAGTGTGAAGAGTCTGTTCTCATGAATTCCTTCATCAACTTTCCTTACCAAATCATCGGTGACAACAGAAGGCCGACCACTCCGAGCCTCGGCGTGGACATTTGTTCGACCTGCATTAAACATTCTTACCAACTTTCTCACCATTCCATCACTTATCGTGTATTCACCGTAAACTTTTGTCACTTGACGATAAATTTCAGCCGGTTTAACATTCCTCACATTCAAAAATTTAATCGCGGCACGAATCTCACAGTCAGCGGAAGAACTAATTGTCTTAAACATTTTGAATGTGCACAGCAAACTGAAAACACAACATAGAGCAACCAAAATGGCGACAATTGAAAGTCAGTGAACAAGAAAGGCTAGTGCGCATGCGCGGGACGCCTACTACAGCGCTGCAATGGCGCTAGAATGAAACGGTACTTAGTTTCCGAATACGCTACGTACATTTTTTATAACTTTTGTAACATAATTTATCCTAATATTTTTGTAGAATCAGTGTCATGAATTATATGTATAATTATCTGATATTTAAAATTATAAAATGTTCTTAAATTGTGAATATAGTGCTTTTACGTTTTTAATAAAATTAATTAGCCATGTAAATCTATAACATGTAAGGGTATTTAACTGCTTAATTATTTGTAACTAACTCACATGCTTGGAAGTTATGTTCTACATGTTAAAGTGAGTTACTGGCTTTCCCTAATCCTTACTGTGGGTACAAGATAAAATGCAAAAATTAACATAAAGCTATTATTTACAACTAGTGAAATTTAAAATAATACAATTTTCTTAACTGTTTTGCTTCAGTGGCTTACTGGAACTTTAAGTATATTAACTGGATTAGGATTCCAGCAACTATGCAAAACAATGACATTAACAGGGTTAGACAGCCACAGCATTACTAACTTCCAGCACTTGCTAACCGGGCATTCATGTCTGTTCTGGTTAAGTGGCTCTCTCTGGACAAACAACAGCAGTGGTAAGATTTTCTGCTATGAAGCATGCTGATTATGATTTTACTCATTTTAGTATAAGCTTCTGGCCATGAAACCGCTTTTGGACTGAATGATGAAACACAGCTTAAAAGAAAGAATTGTCATAAAGCTAACTGTTAGTAAAACTTGAATAAAGCATCACTAATCATCTCTAAAATATGTTGGACTATTTTAAGTGTAAAATATAAATGCTTCAAAAAATTTTGCAGTGTAAAGCTAGTTTCTTGATAAATTTTATAAAGTTCTTTTCATTCTGTATTTTTAAAAATACTTTGTTGAATATTAGCTTATATTTAATTATAATGGATCTTACTTAGAGATGATTTATTCTTATAGTGGTAGTTTTAAGTATGATAATTGCATTAATTTATTCAATTCCCATTTGTTGATAGATCCTTAATTTTTTTCATTTCCATATGCAGAAATATATGTGAAACCTGTTTTAGAATGTATATGTTGTTTCTCTGTTTTTGTGGAGGGTTATTTTATTGACATTAATACTATAAATTTGAAAAGGTAATAATTATGTTTTGTATATGTAGTGAAAAGTATGTTCGTAGAAAGTAAGAGTTCACTGAGAATTTTTCAAGCTTAGTTTGAATGTATTAAGAAAAGTTTTTATTTATAAAATGCTGAAATCATATTAACACAGTAAGAAATGCAACTTGAAATTTATTCAGCTTAAATTTAAATGTAGATTCTGTATTCATGTAATGACATGAATACATAGATATTGTAATGCAAATTGGTATGTTTTATGTAGTTGAAATAACTATTATCTGGATATTTGTCTTAATAAGTTAATATTTTTTGGGGAAAATTATAGTTATGTTATATAAATATGTGGGAGAAGAAGCTACAAAACTGCAAAGTAATTTATAGGATTGTGAGCTGTTTCCTATAGAACGCTTGCGCAAATATATTGAGAAATTTCCCTACAATTCCATGATTCTCTTCCCACATGTAGACTCCAGATGTAATAAATGCATTGAACTAATTTTATGGTTGAGGCTGTTGATGTGTTTTGACTTTTAAAGAAAAGTCAATGGTATTGTTTTTATTAAGTATTCAATTTCACCTGTGACTTACCAGTGCATATGTTGTGAATGAATTTTTGTTTGGAAAAAGAAAATTTGCTAGAAAATGTAGATTTAGGATCTTGGAATTATTAATTATATTAGTTTCTAGAGTTGCATATGCATGGGGGCTTAGTTATAAAACTTCCGAGTATATCATAAAATAGTGAAGTACTGCATTATTGAATTTAATACTTAATACTAATTTCCTTTATTTAAATTTTCATTTTTAATATAACTAAGTTAGATTTGAAAGTTTAATGACTTTTTAATATCTCAAAATGTATTTAGATTCTATTGCATTTTGCCTTTGTTTGCTATTTCTTATAGCTATATGTGTATAAGACCATTGATTTTTATTTCTAAAATAAATCTTAACTTTTGGAAATACCATTTTTATGAATTTTTAATTTTTAGCCTTTTCTGTGTCCAGATTTTCAGCTTATAAAATGTTATCATAATTTCAACAGAATATTTAAAAGATGATAATGAATATCTCTCACTTTCTTTTCAAAATTCTAACCGTTGCATTTGGTATCTTTTTAGCTTGACTGTGTGGCATTTTCACATCTCTGCCAATTTGTGTACATCCCTTTTGGTGGTTTGAAAGAATACCTGGAGTCAGACTGTACAAACCTCTTGTCCTTTGTTGAACGCATGAAGGAAAGGTATTGGCCTGACTGGGAAGAAATGTGCAAGACTCTGGAATTAAATACCCACCTCCCGAAGAAAGTTGAGGAACCTCCAAAGGAAGAAGGTGAGAAGAAAGAGAGTAAAGAGGCCGAAGAACCCGCCGAGGAGAAAAATGAGAAAGAGGATAAGGCTGAGAAATTGGATGAAAAAATTGAAACCAAGGAAGAAGAAGCTTCTGAAAAGCCAAAAGAGGACAGTAATGAAACAAAAGAGTGAAGCTTGTAATTATGTGGATAATTTTAATAGGAATGAGAAGTGATTTTCTCCCATTCAGTCAAAGCTTTAAGTGGATCAGTGTTGTGTCATTGTGCTTGTTCTACTGCAGCTGTTCTTTTGTTGTAGCTCAAGTATCCTTAAATTTCATTCCATTTTTACAATTTTAATGAATTTTCCTCTTCATTTTTGATGTATTTTATTAACAGACTTGGCGAGCTCAACGTTAGTGACTCTGCGCACACGCGTCTGAAGTCTTCGGCAGCTCTGGGTGTTGCTCAAATTTTTAATGTTAGGAATTTTTATTCCTGTCATTTGTATTTGTTACACTAGTCTTATACTTCGGTGAAACTGCATTTATGCATGAATGCATTTTTTGCTTTTTTAATTGCAGTATTTCTGTACCTACTTAAGGATTAAAGCTTTATCTTATGATTTTTATGTGCCCCTATTGGGCTTTTACATTTTTCGTTTATAACATATACATACCAAATGATTTTTTTTTTATTATTATTTTAAACTAAAACAGTAGTATTTTGAGTGATATTTTTAATCAATGTCATACTTTTTATCTGTGTATCATACATTTTAATCGGCCCACTGTTTAACATGGGCCACCAAGAAAAATTTTGTTCAAATGGATTGTAATATGTACAAGATTTCATAAATTTTAATGCTGATTATACCTTTTGCTGTGCATATTTGTCAAGCTTTTTGCACTAAGTCTGTGACCTGTCTTGTGTATATCCCAAGAATCATTTTTAAATTATGTATACCTTTGTACTGTGTATTACTGTTAATAAACAAAGCTTTACTGTGTATCTTGTTTACTTCTGCCTAAACTGCAAAGTATTTTCAATATAATTCTGTCAGCACTTGCTTGTCCCTGAATTCTTTTTGTGTCATTCTGTTAACAAAACTGTTTTAAATTCCTTGTAAAAAGTAAATGTATTGCAATCACGAAAAATTTCAGTTATCAAATTTCGACGGATTAGTGTTTTATATGGCGCACAACCTGGAAAGGTTATTAGCGCCAGATGCATGTTGAGAGTACACAAAGAAAACAAGCACAATCACATATTTAACACAACAGACATATAAAATGAAAAGTAATAAAATGATGAATATTGAAATGAAGTTACTCATGATTTATATAAAAATAGGAAATGTGAAGTAGGTATAAAATCTTAAAACATGACATATTAAAGTGTAAATTACATTAAAATACAAGGGTATTACCAAATTAGATGATAAAAACCTGTTTCTTTCAAATACTGAAATACATTAGTATTGGACCTCTTTCTCGATTATTCGGTCAAAAGGAAAGTCAGAGTCATTAAAATACTTTAATCGAGGTGTGTTAAAATATAAGCAGTCAATTAAAAAGTGACGCATTGTCAGAACACTCCCACCATAAGAACAAACAGGTTCACTCTCAGCCTTCAAACTATGTTGACACGAGAGTGACCAATCCTTAGACGTTTTAGCAACACTTCCTCCCTCTGGTTTCTAGTGCTTTTCCTTAGGCTTCACGTTTCTTAGTTTGTTCAGCAGCTGACCATCCCGCCATGTATTAAGAATCTTGCCAGAGATAGCCTTTTTGATGCCGCTGTAGAGGACAGGCAGATTTAACAATACAGATGCAGACTGCTGTTCTGTCCACTGGCTCATTTCTCTTTATTCCTGTTTGACCAAGTATCCAGCAGTAAAGAATTTTACAGCCATGTCTCTTTAATTTTTGATTTAATTTGTGCGGGATTTTTGATTATATCATTTATTAATGGATTATCTGCATCAAAAAAACTTTAAAAATTAATTGCAATACTGTATTTGAAGGGGTTAAAAACTCTTATTTTTAATGCATTGAGAAAAAGAAAACCAGAAGAGTAAAAGAGAGTCACTAAAGAGAAAAAGAAAATTACATTGTAATATACAATTAATGGAATATATATTTAATTAAATATAAAATTTTATTTAATAATTTTAGGAAGAAAATATAAAATAATAAAACTGAGATGGAAACTATTTTTTGAATAATTTTTAAAAATTAATTGCAATACTGTTATAATTGAAGGGGTAAAAAATCTTTTTTATTTTTAATGCATTGCATTCTAAAGAGAAAATCACATTGTAATAGGTGTACATATAAACTGTTGGCTTTCAGCTGGAACCATAAACTATTACTCTCCAAACTTATAGTTTATGGTACACAAAGATAAATTTTACTGAAATCTTATAGAAAAAATATTTTACTAAACATAATTTTACTTAATTTGAAGTTAGAAATAGTTTTTGGAAGAATTTCATTTACCTCTGACCTTTCAGTGTTACCAATAGTACTTGCACTCTGGAAATGTATGGTAGTAAAGAATTTTTATTTTTAAAACAACATCTACTGATTTTAAATGCCCATTTTATTCAGTACGCATATTAAAGTGCTTATAAACTTAGCAAGTCCAATGTCCCAGAAAAGAAGCTGCAGTATAGAATGGATTAACGGATTAATTACAAATAAACACTAAAAAAACTGGTGTTAAGTAAAATAAAAACATAATACTTTGTATGAACACCAATCTTTTAAACACGAGTAGGATGCACATTTTGAACAAAAACCTTTCATACTTCACCAGCTGCAAAGGAGCCAACTTGCATCTGATGAAGAAAGGAAGCTTTTCATTTGAAAAGCATATCCTGCTCATGTTTAAAAGTGTGGTGTTCATACAAAGTAGTATATTTTTATTTTAAGTGGATCAATGCTTTTTTTTAAATTTACTTATTTAAATTATTTTTCCTAAAGTATATCAGGAACAAGTACCAAAAATCACCCACTCTAAATAGTAGTCAAGTATATTCCAAATTTCCTATTTTTCATTTGTGAATGAGTATTGAGTTTTTTAAAACAAAAATGCACAAGTTGGCTGAAATATAGAAACTAGGTACTATTATATACTACATGAATAACTTTATAAGATACCCTATATACGACTCTGATATGGGAAATTTGACTCATCAAATACTTTTTTTTTTTTTTTTTGTTTTTGTTTTTGTTTGAGATGGTATAAATTTAAAAAAATTAGCTTGTAAAAGCATGGAAATCATTAGAGATATTAAAGAAAATTATATAGTTATGATATATTTATGTTGTTGAAAAATAGTTTTAAAGGTTTTTAAAAAATCTTAAACATATATTACCATGAATGCAAAAACTTTGCAATCAAATATTAAGTTATAAATAGGTTCTATGGCTGAATCATGTATAGCCTTCCCCTTCTTCCTTTATTGGACAGTTAAGAATAACATTCTTGTTAGTTCTTGTTTCTTAAGAAAAACATTCCTTCTTCATGAATTACTTGTCCTTTTACCTTTTAACTTCTTTTTATAAAAGTTAACTAAATTTCTCTTTCTTCTCTGTAGAATCTTCCTGTAAGAATTAAATGCTTCATTTTCATAGGTAGCCTCCATATTCTTTAAGGGAACAGTTGAAAGATCTGCGCTTTAGATTTACTTTTACTCTTAAATCGTATTGCTTCTTTATAAATTTCTTCTTCTGCATTGTAAATGCCTATTTTAAAATTCAATTCCTTTATGAATGCATTGTATTTCCCTGAATAAATAAATTTATTTATTATTATAATTTTTTATTTGACATATCTTAATATCACGATTTATTA